CGGCGAAAGTGGGATAGTACTGGGAGGGGGAATAGGAAGGCTCAAGTCACACTTGAACCGTGTGCTTGACCTATCATCTATGGGGGATATATATGATAAAATGATTTCTATCGATTGCGTGTGTTAATGTATAATACATGCCCTCATACCATATATAGTATAACATGGTATTATAATAGATATAAATATAATCACAATATATAGTAAAGTAGACATGTTTATCTTATATCTTATCTATATATTCATACTATTAAGAAAAAAAAAGAAAAAAAAGATAAAAAAGGACTATTCATTTGTTTTTTTTCACGCGACAATGAAGGTCTCTACTATTCGTTGATACTATGGGTCCGCTGATTTTCGTTGATCTTATGTTACCTTGATCGATTATACCCAGTCATAGAATCAGTCCTAGAGTTATCAGCACTGATAGTATCTTGATGTTAAGATGGATATTAGAGAGTCCAGGTGTAGCACACAGGGGATGTTGACGAGGCTAGTCAAGGTAGTTACGGTAAGAAGTTCAAGGATGATGTTGCCGGGCTGAAGATGCGGCACGACGGAGCGGGTGTGGTCGGGATGTGCAATACGGGTAGATATAGGATAGGTCAGCGAAGAGATCATGAGTGTTGTTTTTAGGGAAGAACTCCAATACTTCGCAGTTTTATATAACGTTTAAGGCGACGCCGCAGTTGAATGGCAAACACGTGGTTTTCGGAAGAGTGGTAATAGGGATGGCCATAACACGATACCACACCATTTCCAAATCTACGAAATAACTCCCCCGGTGGGAGCTATTGGATCTCAATCAACTCTAGTGAGTTGAAGCTCGATAGGAGTTTACTATTTCGGTTAGGCTTGTTTGAGTCCCCTAATTGGCAGGATATATTCGACCAGATGTGGCGATGGTGTGGTATCGGAATTAACCCTGGAAAAAGCTTGCTATATTCGCATGTTATCAGTGAGTAGGATCGTGTCTGCATACTGATTAACAGAGTGGGGGTCCCATCATGTGTGATGCTAAATAGAAGCACTAAGCGTTTCTAAAGTTGCCACTCGTAGAATTCAATCTGCAAGAGTGAAAGTCGACTTAGGTTGCCGGTATGGAAGTGATAGAACGCCTTAACGTGGAATGCGCTGCTGATGATGATGAAGGCAAGCCTCGAGTTGCCGCTGTAATAGCAGATTGCGGAATCGTAAGTGAGGGCAAGAGTGGTAAGAAATGAGAAGTTTCTGCTGTGGTGACTTCCCCTTGAGTTACTGCGGGGTTGGTCAGCAGTGAAATTCCGAATTTATGTCGAAAATAGATTCTAAGTTGACTCGAAATTACCCGAAAATTCGGCGCACCTGGCATAGTGAACAAGTTATCTCCACTCTGGTTGCAGTACATGTTCATAGTAATTTTTGCATTATATCTGCTATATAGTTTCAGATCGATTATCAATACTATCAAATTGTCACGCACTGTACACTGCGTGATAAGTCATAAGGCTGGCGTCTCTTTGAGAGCTCCTTTAACCCCTTCTGTTGATCGGTAGAAACCCATGGGAGGATTCGCCGTCAGGGGTGCATTTCTTACATGGTATAGAGTTTGGAATACAGTGTTCATGGTCAACTACATGTGTTAATAACAATATGGAAATTGTGAGGGAATTTTGGGAAATTCTTGTTCATTTGTTCTTGAGTTCGTATTTCGGAGTCGCTCGAGGCGATCACTAAGAGCATCTGTATTTCCACTGTGTCGGTTTTGTGTCGACTTTCCTAAATTCAGTACCATTCTATTGCGACTACCTCAGCTCAGCGTAGGACTTGGGTTGCTCGTCGCTGCATAGTTATTCTACCACATGCTTTCCACTGCTGCCTTGAAAACGTCCCTGTTGTTCACACTATACGGTTTGGTGAGCATCAGTTTGACTCTAGTGAACAAAACCCTCGCGGTGTCTTACCCCTATCCATGGTCAACTGTGTTGGTTCAAAACACAGGGGCGTTGCTGTGCACGATAGTCCTCGTCGCGAGCCGTATGCAAGGCGTTCGTTCGGTACGG